CCCGGGAGGGCAGCTGAGCCTGGCCGGGTAAAGCAACTTGGTCTTGCGGACGAGGCGGCACACGGCGCAGGGCACGGCGTGGTTATTCAGATGTTGGGCGTTCTTGTGGGAAAATGGATCGAAACTGCTAACTCTGTACTCCGTCCCATATAAGTATGAGCGTGAGTTGAACCCATCCTTGTGGGAGGCCCACTGAGGGTTTTTTGGAAGGCAGAGGAAGTCCGATGTGCCACCTTTATGTGCATAGTATGACGATGCAGCATAACCTACGAACAAAAATGAAGTAAATTACTAAGTGAATGCAGTCGTAAACAGTAGTGTAACAGTTCATGCCTCCGGGCATACCGCGCACTCCTTTCAAATTCTTTTAATACCCTTTTGGTTGGGTGCACTTTAGCAGGTATATAAGACTGCTGCGCACATTGGGGCGTTAGTTATTCTTTTGGTTTCTTTATTTGTTTTTACTTTTACGTTTGGGTTTCTTTGCTTTAGCCGTGCTCTCTCCTCCAGCACCGCACCTTCAGCTGGTCTTATTACTTGGAAGTGTTACCCGGTATTGCAATTTATCTACATTTCTTAATTTGCCTTCTGGATATCTTTATAAATACTTCTTTGCTTTGTGTGATTTTAATACTAAATTTGGGAGGCGCGCCGAAGTCTGTCTTCTTGTTGTGTGCATTTTTGAGGGTTGTTAGTATGTATTCATTTTCCTACGCCCCGGCCTTCTCGGCCCGTTACAGTGGCAATAGAACTATGCTTGATTCTAAAAGGTTTCAATTCCAGTTTTTGTTTTACTTTATTTTACCGTATAGACCAAAGATCAACAGATTGCTCATAATTCATAAGGAGATGGGTGTTATTTAAAAAGGAAAAGGAAGCATAACTTTCAATACATTGAACTCGAAAAGAGTGAAGTTGTTTTCATATAAAATTGAATAAGAGTATGAAGTAACGTGCAAAGTGTTACCATTAAAAAATGAATCGATAGATGAGTTCAAATCATCTTTTATCAACCGATATCTGTAGGTTCACTTTTCCCAATAGCATTTGCTTCGTGTAATTTTACTCTAACAGAGCAGGGGGCTAAATTATTTTTAATATCGCCGCAGTGGATTATTCAATGATCTCTGCGATCATTTTGACCCCGTTTTCGCAAAATTCGAACATATCGTCCTTGGGCATCGCACATTTCCCGAGAGGGTCAACCAAAATACTTTGTTTTACTGCTTTACTCACTACACGCGTACTGACACACATGTTGCTATGAATTTGACATGACGGTAAATATAAAACAATATGTTCGATTAAGTTCAAACTTCGCAATTTGTAGTGATAAAGTCCGCCTGTATAGGCCTGTGAATGGTAAAATTTAATCTTCAAAAAAGCGGGCGTGGCACAGCCGAGCTCTTAGGAGGCGGAATCCATCTGGCTGTGAGATGGGCCAAATAACCAGGCCTTTTTATGGTTAAAAAACTGAGGTGAGGCCACAGAAATCAGTTAAAGCATTGAGTCGAAAGGTGAAAGAACTAGCCATACGTACCTGCATACACTAGATTCGTGTTGTAGTGATTCGGGCAAGTAGTGCGCCCCCATCGGACATAAGTTTCCCCCCCTGTCAAAAGCAACTCTGCTTCCAACTCCTTGCTTTCTGTCACGGTTAAATTCAAAAGGGTTTATATTTTTATATATATATATATTAAACATGATAATGTCGGTATAAATATTTTAAGAAGGTCCGGTGCACAGGTGATTCTATTTTTAAAAAAGGAACAAAAATAAATACAGTCGATTCACAATAGTGCGCCTCCAAGAGTTTGTACCGCGTTGACCAATCACAGCGCGCAAAATCTGTCTACCGAATGTGCGTCTGAAAAGGGTCGACAGATTTCTTGCACTGTGATTATTAAACGTGGTACAAACTCTTGAGGGCGCATTATTGTGAATTGACTGTATCCTGAAGTTTTTGTAAGATGTTTTTCTTATCGAAGGATTCGGGAAGCGCACTCGTTTTCATGCCAACAACTACAGGAGAAGCAGAATCTTTCGAATCAAGCAGCTGAATTTCATTGCGAATCCCTGCATGTACCATCATTGTATAACAAAAGAAATGCATTGGCTGCAGTGCGTTTAGGACTGGAATAAAAGCCCTTCCAAATAGAAAAGGTTGATTAAAACCAAAGATGACGATGTTCAAGGGAAGACTTACAAAACTCAGTCAACAATCCTACTTCTTCTGGAGCATTTCACGTACCACTTTTGGGAGCGTCCCCGGATGAGAGAGCTTTATCTCGCTGAATTCCGTGCGCAACGGCCACTTCTGTTTCCTGATCTTCTTCACTGCGTAACTGGGAGGATTCCGGGATTCGAACATCGTCAGCAGTTTCCGAGAGGGGTTCCTCCGACAACGCCCAACGATCTTCCTGAAGGACCACACGGCCCTGCGCACAAAGTTTAGTTACCAAGTTTTGACAACGTGACTGCTTCGTGCCACACATCTATTCGTATTGCGGAATAAGGACGCTAGATTCACTGGTAGGTCTATGTGCTGTTTTACACAAATTTTCAGTTCAAAATAATTGTGGGCAAGTATCGAAATTGGTCTTTGGTGTGTCGAATGGAAACGACGCAGATTCCATATCACATCAGAGGCATCGGAGTCATAAGACAGAGGCGATAAGGCATGAGTCGTGCTTGAATGGCGAAGTATTTAGATTGAAGGAATGTTACTTAAGGGACCACACAACAACGATGGGACTTATCGAGACGGAAATGGAAGCTCAGCGCAAGGCTCTGACTGTCCATCGAAACAGAGATGGGTCCACAGAGCCGATAACGCATCGTTATCCGCCTATCCGAAGCAAACCCTCATCGGTTGAAAAGAACTGCGTCGAACGGAAGTATTCGTTTTGAGGGTAGAAATGCAGCGGCAACGCTCATGTTTCCTGGCAGTCGGCGATACGCGGCTAGTGACAAAGGATCACGCGTCGCTAGGGAAATAGCACCCTCCCTTGGTCCTGCTCGACGCTTCTAGTACATTACTATGAATTACTGAGACATAAATGGTGGCGATAGTGCAGTGCTATGATCACGTATACGGAAATAACGATTTGAAACAGGTGCGGCGGTCACTTGACTAGACCCTCGTAAACCGTGAGCAAAAATACTTAGGCCTAATAACTTGTTCATCTCTAAGGTAATGAAAAAATGTATTTCATTTTCGACCTATCTATTTTTTAACTTTTTTTTCAGTTTTAAAATTGTTCAGAACAGCTGGGTGATGCACATCACAAAGAAGAATTTAACCTGCACAACTGAGTCAATTTCATGTAACTTGACTTCTGGTTCCAATTTAATGGGTTAAATTTGATACCGTCCGCGCAGCGCAAGGAACCCTACTCGGTGCCATACTAAGACCAACGGCCGGTAACGCACGAACCCGTACATGCAGACATATGCATACGTATATCATACATGCCAGTACAGTACGTGTGCCTCACATGTATAGAGTACATGTATAGAGTACATGCAATCCCTTGCCCCCCTCAAATAGTTTGTCTCTAGTCAGACTGATGTTCCAGACTCGATGCAGCCATCACGCAGCTTTTTAACCGCTTCCGGGGTTTTTGATTGTGCAGACAATTACAGACACACGTTATCGAGTCATGGGACTAGCCCAGCTTTATTAGGAGGATAAGCTGACAACAGAGTCTGCTATCATTGTTGAACATCGATCTCGTCGGGATCCACCGCCCTAAGTGAAACCTCGAGCTGCCCGCCAAAATGCCGTGGCAGTGGGAGATTAGAGGGCGCTGTTGCAGCTGTTGCAGAGGCTGAGTTCGGGCGGCTTGTTCTCGTTTGTTCACGAACAGCTCGATTTGTTGTTCGTGGGTCGGTCGCTCGTACGCCGGGAATGTACAACCGGTTATTAGCGCTAGTAGTTACTTGTGCCAAGCAACATGCAAGATTAAGATGGCAGCGTCCTTGAGCATTCTTGGGGAGTTAATGTTGGATAACTGGGATAATTCCTTTCCACTTAAAAAATTCATTTCTGCCATGGAAAATTATTAATGTTAATTTTGCAAAACTTGCTATTGTCTTCGGCTTTGTAAAGTCATATCGGTACTTTCTGCAGCTGTTCCAAAATAAAATCTCACGAGTGTTTTTGTGTGTTCGTGAAAAATCCTGACGGGGAGGTGGTGTGTGATCCTGTTCCGAGAACAGTGTTCTTGGGTCGTGTTCCCGCCGTTCGAGCGCGAGAACAAGAAACCTGTGTCAAGAACGGACCTCCCGAACTCGACCAGAGGTTAAAAAATGACTTCTTATGAACTTGAAATAATTTTGTTTTCATCTTCTGTCAGCACTGCATCATCACAGAAAATATTAGAACAAATTTAAGCAGTTCAGAGCTTATCGCTGAAACATGAGATGGGCAAATGAAAACGACAGTGCCGTGGTCTGACTAGTGCAGTGCTTATGACTTATCGAGAAAGATATAAGACCGAGACAGATGTTGGACCAAAGAGGCTATGGTGCCGTGCTACGGTATATAGAGATGGGACAGTAGAGGCGAGAGCTCAGTGCAGTGACTTACCGAGACAGAGATGCCAAGGCATAAATTCAGCAGCATTCCTGCCAGAATCAAGCGCCAGAGTTTCCCATTCCTCGCTGGGACGCTCTTCGGCGAGAGAAACTTGCTACCGTCAGTCATCTTTGGTGACTTGAGGTTCAGAGCCAAGTCCGTGGGAAGAACGATTCCGATTTCAGCGACTCTGTACACTTGCTTTACTCTGACAGACAAAACAAAAAGTTAAAGATTTTCGTCAGAATTTCAGCACAGATTACTTTGACACTGAAGCCATTCCTGTAAGAAATATGGAATATTTCATTCCAAGTCAAGCCGATTGGAAGGAAGCGGTGTTATGTCATCTGATAATTTAATTTAAGCAATGTAACGTAACCTGCGCCATCAGCCGATGATAATTGGGGCGTGCTCAATTTCTTTCCAATAGAGCTCGTGCTTCATTCGTGACTTCGTTCAGGTATGGTCATGCCCCATAGAGACAACGTTCATTAGAAGCGCGCGTGTGCACTTTATTTTTTAAGAAGAAATTTCCTAGAAGGAGAAGCTTTCGACAACATGTACATTCATTATGCTTGAGCATACCGCACCGCAGTCATTTTCGTACAATTTTGCGCATGAGCTCTTTGGTTGTAGCTGCTGTGCTTTGAAATTTCTGTAAACATTGTTTCATTCGATAAATTGTTTCCGTATTGTGGATTTTTGTTTTCGTTTGTGTGTCCGTAATCCAGTTTGAATTCAGTTTAAATTTCCTAAGCACGATATCGATGAAATACAAAATATTTTGGTCGTTCTCAATGGGAATATGCTGATCATATTTTAAACCATTCATGAATGTTCTCTGTGTGTTCCATCAGGGTACAGTGGTGTTCCAACGGTGTTTTCTGTGCGTTCTACCGGGGAACTGTGGTGTTTCAGCCGTGTTCTCTGCATGTTCCATCAGGGTACAGTTGTGTTCCAACGGGTATTCTCTGTGCGAATTTACAGGTAAGTAGGTGTGAATTCAAATTTCAAATTCACTGTAAATTCACAAATCTAGTGTATATGAAAGATACATACTTGATCGTTTTCAATCCCTTGTAATATAATGCTGTACAATTTCAGCTCTGAAAAGCACTAATCAAAATAAAAGAAATATTAATCGAAGTTCCTCCAAGGAAAATCAGTATTCAAAAGAAAACTTCCAGACAAATGTCAGTATCAATTCAGTGAGTTTACCAGGTATGATGGAATTTAGTTCAGTAGGCGAAGTGCCCAACAAATTGCAGTATAAACTCCGGAAAAATCAAGATTGATTGAAAGTATGTCACAAGCTGGAATAACCTGAAAGGTTCAAGGCATGTAATAGAAGATCTTTAAGTCAAAACTTGCCAGTGTTATCACTACGTCTGCTCTCAGTTTTTTAAAATATCTGACATACAGTTCCATGTAATATCAAATTCGTCCCTCCTTGATTACAAGAATCCGCCCTTGCTAGCTTGCTCATCAACTCTGGGACATCTGC